GCAGCAGCAAAGGAAAATAGGGGGCAGGACTGCTCGTTTTCAGACTGCAGCGTGTGAGTGTGGTAGGCTCTGAGGCTGCAGCAGGATGCCCCTGGGGGACCTGCAAATGAGGCAAACAGGACTGGCCACTTCTAAACTGCTCTTAGCAAAGGACCCAAAACAACCCAACTCCCCCGCCCTGCAGAAGGGGCCTGATTAAATAACCCTGAAACACTGGGTAGAAAGAATGAGGAAAACTCACAAGTGCTGATGGAGGTTGAGGCCGAGATCTATTGTTTAGTAAAAAAAAAAAAAAAAGGAACTTCCAGAGCAGAGGGCAAAGCTGAATCTGTACCTGTTTTGTGTTGAAAAAAAAAAAAAAAAAGGCACCCATGGGCCTCAAGGCACAGAGAGTTTCTGGGAGGAAACCTAAGCACATCCCTTCCTCCCCCCACCCCAGTCCCATGTATAAACAGTAGGGCTGGTTAACTTTGCATCTCGCAAAGCCACACAGGCCAGGTGGGAGTGGGAGCTGAAACAGCCTAAGTTGTCTGCCCAGAAGGGAAACTTTTTTTAAAGGCTTTATTTATTTTTGCATATCTGGAGTTAGTGCCCTCCATCTGTCCAGAGCCTTACATGGTTTCCAAGCACCTGAGAATAAATAACACAGCCCAAGAATGTGGCTTGTTAACTGAAATAAAACCTCAAGAATAGTTAGGCAGAGTTTATAAGGTAATCAAAGTGAGGATTTGAACTAGGGAAGCAATCCAAACTGATCTTACTCCATGAAGGCTGTTCCAAGTAAGCATAAATTTGAATGTAGTTTATATAGCTAGGAATAGTGAGTCACTGACATTAAGAATGTAATTATTCTTCATAGGAGGGGCTGCTGGTTCTAAATTGTTCTTATCTAGAGATACTCTGAGAAGCAGGCCCAGCAGTCTACAGAAAGGACTGTGGGTGCTTTGCTGGTGGGGGTGGGGTGATGACCTATATTCTAGGAGGTGTGAACCTACTCCTCTAAATCTTGTACACTGTTGTACACACATGTTACATCAATTAAATAAGTTTTTTTGAAGACATGCAGATACTAGAGGAACAATTTAATCTTTTTTGAATAATGCCTTACAACATGCAAAGGCGAGGTTCCCATTGGTAAATCCTTATCTGAAGACATCTTTAGACAGGAGATTTCTGTATACAAGATGGAGCCTGTGAAGATAAGATGGCTTGCTGTTTGTCCACCAGAGGGGGCAGAAATATTTACATATGTTCACAGGCTGTTGGCCATGGAATGGGGAGGGATGATGGTCAAAGATTTTTTTTAGATTAAAAAAAAAGTTCTTCAGCTTCACTACAAGTGTCAAAGCTTACTGTTTTGGAAGAGTCCAATCCTGGAATCAGCCCCCTGCTTGCCCGGGAGCAAGAAAAGATCAACCAAACCTGAGAAAAGGCCTCCTACCGGCGTGGGTCACGGCTAAGGGGCAGGAGTACTTTCTGATGTTTTGCTGGCAGAGGCAGAATTTTGTTGCTTAGTACCCCAGCTAATTGGCCTCCACATGACACTCTGGAGAAATTGTCTGCTGAGAAGCTACAGCTGCCTCACTCATTATTTCTGATTAATAGACAACACCTGGCATTTCCAGGCCATGCTAGCAGTTCAGGACCCAGGTGTGACCTACACGACCAATAAGAATGACATGCTTTCAGCCTTGAGGATGCTGTCCCCCCAAATGGCATTGCCTAAAGTCCTGCCCCCTCAGAGTGTGTTTTGAACTGGCTCCACCTCCTTGCCACTTCCCTTGCTGCAGGTCCGAGTGAGTTACTTGCAGTTAATTTAGAGAAATTTGTCTTAATACTAAACAATCAGTCAACCTGTACACCCCTCCCCCCCACAATCGCACACACAGTTATTGTTCTCATTGTAAATGAATACTCCAGCAGTCTGGTTTGGGTTCCCTGTGTGTTGCCAAATCAGCCTTCCTAGTCCAAAGGCTGGGAACAAGACTGTTGAGGGTACCTACCCTCCCCCGCAAATTTGCCTGAGTTTCTTGGAGCTGCTTAGAATGTATTGCTTAAATAGCTGATAAATATAACACTTGTCAGGAAACATTGTGAAAGACTTATAAGTAAGCAAAAAGATAACTGCATGTTCTCAAGGCTGATCCAGATGATTCAATTCCAGAAGACTCTCCTAGCTTTACTAAGGAATTCTGCAATCCTATAAATTGTAGAAAACTGATAGTAATATAAATGACTCTTGCCTTTAAGAGATGCAATTGATTTCTTCTCTATAGAATTGGTCATTTTTGTATCAGCAACTTCATTTCTGCATTCCTGATTACCTTTATAGAAGTTTATTCTTTGCACTCTCCTTTGAACCAGTCTTCCATCTTAGTTTCCCTCAGTCAGTTGAAACTGTTAGGGGGAAAAGATGTCCTGAATGAACTCTACAGACAGGTTTTGTGGACTCCACCTCACCCCAGACCAAAGAGCTACAAATCTCATCACCACTGATGGGAGAATTACTGGGACCTGAGACTGGAGTTAGGCATCCTGATTTGTTATAAAACCAGACATGTTGGGCCTCGGGGGTCTCTTGACCTCTTGGTTTGACTCTTGGCTTTCACCAGCTCTCAGTGTGCCATCAGGATGCCAGCTAAGTGGAGATGCATTAACCAATTTATCTCTCTCTCTCCCTGAGTTATTCATTTCTTTTTCTTTTTTTTGTAAATAAACCCTTTTTAACCTTTTTGTATGTGCCTGCAGTAAGCACATGGGTGAGGACCCACAGTCAGGCAGCCCATTTCACATTGGGGTTGCCTTGTAACAGAATAAGATCTTTTACATCTTGTATTCAGATGATCACGGTTTACTTTTCAAAACTGTCCTTTGTCATACATCTACCTTTTCCCCCTGGCTACCAAGAAGTACAAAGTCTTAAAACTTACAAAGTATCACAGGATAGAATAGAAAGCTGCTCCAGACACAGAGAGTGAGACCACAGTAAGCAAGGGAAGTTGAGACAGCCTTGAGCTACCTGCCATCCCTCTTCCTTTCCCACTCAAACTCCACCTTGAATCTGGAAAGCCACTCTGATGTTACTGCTGGAGGCTGTCTTTCCTTTCCTCCTCAGGGGGCCAGATTACACTGAGCCGAGACCCATCTGAAACTAAGACTGATATTTAGGGTCACATCCTTGTCACACTTCCTCCCCACATCAGACACAGTCACTTCCTCTTTCTGCTGAGAACAGAAGTTGAATGAAAGATGAATTCCCAGGATGTTGCAACACCCAAGAACATAAGGGCAAGTGACAGATGGGCGTTGGCAGCAGAGACAGTCCTCCAGGGTGTCTTGGGAGTACCTGAGCTTACAGGGCAGCGCCAGCTGAGCACAGGCAGGATCCCAAGCTCCACAGGAACCTGCACAATGATCCGAAGTCAAGGACGTGCCCTCTGAAATGGGGAGGAGGAAGCAGGTTCCAGCCTTCGTGGGTGGGTGGGATGTGAGACAGTGCCGCCGCCGCATGAACCAGGACTCTCTCCTTTCCCTCCCGTTTGCAGCCTCACAGTCCCTCTTCCATCGGAGGGACCTGCCAGGTCAGAGGGCAAAGGAGCCTGGCTTTTTCTCTACCTCCTGATCCCGCCATGGCTGTTCAGTTCACCCTGCTGGCAGGAAACGTCCACTCGTGCAGGCATGCAGTCCTTCCGTGTCACTTCCCCAGACACCTCCCAGCCCACTCCTACACACCAAGTCCTTCCATTTCCCTAGAGTACAGGTTGATCCCACTCTCCCCTCCATGGCGCCCACCTCTCCCACATTGCAGGCCATTCTTTGAGGACTCGCTCTAAGAAGCTCTCTTCCTAGCCTTTACTTCTGTACCCAGCTCATTGTAACTTGCTTGAAAGGCATGATTCTGATGCTTTCTTTATGCAAGTCTCTGCCCAGTGCTCAACACACATCTGATGTTAAGATCAAACCGTTCAGGCTGGGGGCTGGGTGACACCAGATGTGTTTGCAGGCCACATTTGAAAAGGTGAGGACCTAGGTCAAGGGTCTCCCTATACTTCAGACCCAGAATCACACAAAGCCTTGCTCTGAATGAATTTTAGACACCTGCCTCCACTCAGCCAGATTCTATGAAACCATTTCTGATGCTGCATTTAAATGCCTTTTGGTTCTGATCAGTTTGTGTCTAATAACCCTGCCTGAGAGGTACCACCCCCATTTTGCCCACAAGGACCCTTGTGATCACAAAAGGGAACTAGTAAAGGGGGAACTGTAAAGTTTTACAGTGAAGGGAAACTGCTCAGTTAGGACAGGAGTCAAGTTGGGAGTGAGGCTGGAACCAGCTGAGGGCCAGCCTGCAGTGAAGGACTTCATGACCCTCAGGTGAAATGTGACCACCTGCCCCTGGCCCTCATCCCTTGGTCACCCCCAGAACTGTGGCCAGGATGGGAAGGCAACGGATGTGGGAAAAATGAAGTGGGGGGGACACCAAGAGGATGCTCCCCTCAGTGAGGTAAATCCCAAACTCAATCCCAGTTCTCTAGATAACCAGCTCAGAGTCATCACCTAGCCCCAGTATGCTTGCAGGTCCTTCCTCCCCGACCTCTACAGCAGCTTCAGGCCCAAGGTGACTATTGCCCAGACCCCAGTCCCCTCTGGCCCCCAGCCCACTGCCTCCAAGTAAGGACTAAGTTCCTTTCCTCCCTGTGACCAGAATCAGGGCCTGGGGACCAGACACACAAGACCTTTTGCTAGTCTGGAAGTGGAGCTGGTAGGGCTCACCTGACTTCTAGCCTCAACAGCTTTCATCTTCCTAGGATGCTGGAGGGTGCAGCATCCTAGCCTGAATGGAAGGACATGCCACCCGGAAGTGTCTGGCCTCCCCACCCCAGACAGACTCAGGTGTATCCACACTCGAGCGTGTGATCTGAACATGCAGCCTCCTCCAACAGTCTGCCCCTTCCCAGGTCACCCGCCTGTAGTCACCAGTCCGAGATCACTTTCTGCTTTTATTGGGAAGCACACACAGGACACACCACAGGGTGGGAAGCAGCATGTCGTCTCCGGGCAAAACTCAGGGCAAGGCTAGTCAGGGTCAAGGCCACCACCGTGACCAGGCCAAAGCTCAGTGCCGCAGCTGTGTGGGAAGTTGACTCCTCCACACCGTGGTCCTCAGCTTTTCCCAAGAAGATCAGTGGCCCCACGGTGACATCTGCTTCTTCTGACGCTGAAAGTCAAGATACAAGAGTCACCTAGCCCTCACTGGGAAGCAGGCCGGGCGTTTTACCCTACTGAACTGGCAGGCTTTGTCTTTTGCCTATGCCCCCCATTATGTGTCAGTAGAACACCAGGTGACAGCCCTGTGACACTTGCTGGAGAAGTCTTGGAGTTCAGTAGGAGAGGTTCTAAGATTTCTATGTCAAAAAACAGAAGACCACATTCCCCTGGGGATAAGCATCCTGAAATGGGGAGCAGGGGAGCAGTGGAGGGGCAATGGCCGCTGGCTGCCAGGCCTACCGTGGTCGTGGATCTCACGCCGCTGCCGCCGCGTGGGGCTCGCCTGCCCCAGGTGGCTGGGAGAGCCACAGTCCCCCGTGTTACAGCAGTGACAGATGTCAGCGGTGCCTTCTACTGGGTACCAGCTGTGGGAAAGACAAAGGCTTAGAGGGACAAGTTGGACTGGGTGAAAGGACGGGTGTTTGTTTTTTTTGTTTTTTAAACCACAGAGAGATCAAACCTGGTCTCCTCACCTTTCTGAGGACTTGCTGAAGGAACAGGCTTTGTTTAGTTGGTCCGGGACTTGGTCAATCGGTGTGACCTTCAGGTGGCAGGTGATGTATATCTGGGCATAAAAACAATTTCAAGTGCTAGGTCTAGGCTGTACCAGTGACTTTGGAAAGCCAGTTTTAACATGGCCCTTGCATAAGATGAGGGAGCAGGAGAACATGATTGTGGACATGGGGACAATAGAGACCTGAAGGTTAACGCACTCAACACTTCCAAGCCAGAGTTTAGCTTGGAACCTACCGTCTTTATTCCCACCACCTTTCTCAGACTTAGCCCATCAACTAGCATCTACACATTGGTATAGACTAGCATATATCAGAACCTCAGACAAGCAAGGGATCAAGACCCAAAAGGCCAATATCCTCTTCTGTCATCAGGGGCCGGGGGCATTTTGGCAAAGTTGACCCCGGTCTCTTGGCAGAGGACGCCTGCAGGTCAGAGGTCCTCTCTTAAACTCCAGGTAGGGCGTCACAGCCTCCCTGCCGCAGCTGCATGAAGTTTCCAGCTGAACCCTTCTGCAGAGCCACAAGCCTTGACCACCACCTAGTGGCCAAGGGCACTAGCAAGGAAACCATTTTGGTAATGGGCCCAGACGCATTGCTGGCCACCCATCTGCTTGCTATCTGCCCCACCAGAGAAGACTTTAGGGTCCTTCTGTGTTCCCTCCTACTCCAGGAAAGGAAACAGGAATAGCATCTGAAGAACATACTAGGAAGAAGCCGACCGGGCCTTAGGTCCCAGGGTGCTAGTGAGTGACCAGGCAGGCAGCCTCAACAGCCTGACAGAGGTCAGTCTTTTTTCAGAAGCTATTACCGTGTTTCTGGAGTCATTAGCAAAGTAGAACATGTCCACTGTGAACTGCAGAGTCGCTGGCCCAGGTCTGGGGGCTTTGAAAGCAGAAGAAGCATCAGAGAGACCATCCACAAGGCAACTTTAGAGAGAAATGAGTAAAGAATGGAGTCAAAGGCAGAGGATATGACCAGAGATGATGCTAGGAGGGTCATCTTAGCCCAGCCCTCACCCATGGGAGTTCACGATGGTGTGAGAAAGGGTGCTGTTCCCATCTGGCGTAGGTGTGGCCATGCAGTGGTCCACAAACAGTCGCAGTGGCATATGGCTGCCCGTGTGAACCTGGGCCTGGAAGTGGGCTGTGTCTCCCAGCTGGAAGGCAGGGGACTTCCTCTCCGTCTTCCAGTCCTCTGGAAGACAGTCAGGGGTGAGAACCATGCCCTGACAGCTCCCACCCCCAGTCCCCCTTGCTTACCCTCCATCAGGAGCAGAGAGAAGGTCAGCTTCTCCACTGCAGAGATGGTGGTGCTGAAGGGCACCCAGGTGGGCAGGATGGCATGGCTGCTCACATTGCCCTGCCTGGGAGAACAGCAGCTGCTCACACCTGGCCCAGGGCGCCCCCATCTGGCTCTGCATTATTGAGGAGGGTCTCATTTCTTCCTTATTGCCAACTCTGCAGCTGTGGCCCAGCTAGGTAGCTAGTTCAAGAAAGCTGAGCCTGCCCCTCAACCCTCTGCTCTAGACCCCTGTGAGCGGGCCCTCCCTCCCAGCCACGAAGAGCTCAAGTGCCAGGTCTGCTTGCTAGATCACAACTGCTCCTCCTCTGAGAGGTTTAGGTCTGAGGCACACCCCTGCTCAGCACCCCTCGAGATCCAAAAGAGGGGTGTCCAGTGAAGGGACCCTCTAGTATAAGTACAAAGTGGCTTTTGGTTGAGGGGCCACTGTACAGCCTGTACTGGGACGAGAAATTTTGGAACCATCAGCTGTCTGGGCATCGGCGCCACTGACGCCACTCATCCTCAGGGAAGAAAGTCTACTTCAGGGGCTGCATCTGTTTGAAGCCTCAGGTGTCAGGAGCTAGGTGAGAGCAGGGAGCTTATGGCAGACCACCCCCCACAGCCCAGGTGAGCGGTAACAGTGGTTCCAGAATGGCTCGGTCAGCTCCTGCCCCCTCCCAGCCCAGCTCTCCCCTTCTAGCTTCCTCAGGAGACCTCTGACACCCCAGCTGCGGCAGCCTCTCTCCTTCCAACTCCCTCCCAGCCTCAGTTTCCACCTGTCTGTACCAGCTTCCACATGACCTTCTGTTGCCATCTTCAACCATTTGCTTGGTCCTCAGAGAGGGGTACCCTCTAGGTACCCTGAATACCTTCACTGTCCCCTCCCCTTATTGACTCTAGTCAGTTTTGCTCTCCCCACCTAACCCCCTTCCACCCCTACTAGTGACCCTTCCCCCTCCTCTAGGAGGTGCACCTGGCCCTGCCCAGACTGTCTCAGCCCTATCTAGAACCAGGATCTTGTTCTGGGAGTCGCAGCCCCAACCACCCCCACCTGGGAGGCTTATCACTGTGCTTTCACTGGTATCAGCACCTCCCAGTTCCCACCAGCACCATCCATCCCAGAACCCCTCCACTCAGGCCTGTGCACCTGCATTCAGTTCAGCAGAGGTCCCACATCTTCCTTGTCAGTCATGGTCACTCTCTCCCCACACCTCAACACTCAAGGTCAAAGGCACAAGATGAGACTGGGCGCTCAGGGGCCTCCTCATCCCGCGCACCCAGGAAGAAGTGGTAGAGAACAGGTGGTGACGGCCCAGCTCAACCCAGAGCCCAACCTGCACTGAATTCTGAGGGGGCCTGGGCTGTCCCCAACCCCCTTCAGGTCAGGGCTGCTTCTCCCAAGGGACTGCTGTGGCCCTGCTGCCTTTGAGGAACTCCGAGCAGGCCCAGCCCCTGCTGCTCTGGGGTGCAGAACAGTGACTACAGCCTCAAGCGCATCTGCCTTCTCTCAGCATACTGCCAGGAGGCTCTGGGGCCTCTGCACCAGGGGTAGACTCTGCCCCCGGCTGACCTGGGGTAGTGGCACTCGATGGGGACCATCACGTGGTTAGTCCTCAGGATGGACAGGTTTCCCCAAGGATGGGGGTCGTGAAGCAGGAAGGTTTTGTACACCAGCATATCATGAGTCACCTGAAAGGGAAGGGAGGGTTAGCTCTCCCGGAGTCACCAACCCAGGTGGGACTGGGTAGACTCTAGCTCCAGGGCAGCCTGACAGACTCACGCTCTGGATGCAAGCCTGCACCTGGAGGGGGAGTCGCCTGGGAATCTTAAGGGCATCCAGCTTCTACTTCCATGCTGACTTAGCACGGGATAAGAGCCTGGGGACTTTTGGACACTCCCCAGGTGATTCTCACTCTGAGTTTGGGAGTTACTAATTCTCGTAAATCACTCCTTCGGCTCTGGTCTCCATCTCCTTCCGGGAAAGAGTCCCAAGGGAGCCTAAGGACCACACCTAAGACCAGAGTTTGGCTAGTGGGCTCCAGGACCCAGCCTGTCCACCCAGCCAAGCTACTGAGCCCAGGGCCAGCCACGGCCACTCAACCTTCCTGTGTGGCCTCCTGCAGGAAGCTCCTCGCACTGGAACTAGCCGCCACCCCCACCCCAACCCCACCACCCCCGGCCCAGTTTGAGCCTTTAAGATCTTCTACTTGTCTATCAGGATGCCCCCTCGGCCCCCCCCAAAGGCCATTTTTAGTTCCTTTCACGTCATTCAACCGGGAGTGAGGGAAACCAAAATTGTCTTCCACACACAGCTCCAGCAAGAGCTGGCCTAGCTGCAGTTTTCCTGTCACACCCCAAAGGATCTTCATCTCCTGGACTCCTTCCAGGAGCTCATGCTGCCCCGGTAATCAAAGTGGGGGTGCCAGGTCTGACCCAAAGTGGATTGAACCTCTGGACTCCACTCTACCTCCCTCCTACCTATCTCCATGCCAGCGAAACCACCAATGCCCAGGCTTCACCTGCTCTGCCGATACACACACAAGTGAACACCCATCCCACCTACCGCCCACTGGCTTTGCATCCATACTCCCCAATACCAGCTGCCTCCCCTGCCCTCCCTTCGACACCCCCAAGCCAAGCCAGGGCCACTGCAGAGCCAGAGCCTCACCTGTAAGTGATTGCCACACTCATGCAGCCCCACCTCAAACCTGACCATATCATCCGTGTCCATGGAGACCAGAGGCTCACAGTTGTCAGGACCCAGGGTGAGGTCTGCTGGCCTGATGAGCTTTCCAGTGCCAAAGAGGTCTCTGCTGACAGTGACCACCAGCTGGGCCTCCAGACACTCAACCGACACTGGCTGTTCAGAGAGCAAGGAGCGGCGGGTCCAGTCCTTCCAGAAGGGCAGGAGGGAGCACAGCCCCGAGCCTCCCCAGAGCAGAAAGCAGACAAATAGCCAGTAGCTTGGCCCCATGGTGCCTACACCCCCTCTCCCACCCAGGAACTAGTAGGCAGTGGCCACCGGCCCTCTTATACCCTGGGTGAAGGCCAGCTCCACCTGGACTGCCAACCGCCTCCCTTCCCGAGCCAATCCCGTTGCCCAGACCCTTAGTCCTCAAGGTAGTCCACAAAGCAGCAGCCTTGGCTTCACCTGCGCTTGTTAGAAATGCAGGCTCTTCGCTCCACCCCAGCACCCATGGCTCACTATCTCCCCAAATGCTCTGTGTTCATGTTAATGTCAGTGAAGCTGGGGCAGCCTGGCCTGGCCTCATCATCTCTCATCACTTTCCCCCTCCTGTCCTCAGGCTTCTACGCTTTGTTGGACACGCCCTCAAGGTCACAGAAGCAGGGCTGGAGCAGGAGCCAAGAACTACCCCAAGTTGCTGGGTGAGACCAGGAGAAAGGCTTTGGCTGAAGGGCGGGAGAATTTAGCCAGGGGTGTCATAGAGCTCATTTCAAGTGGAGGGCTGGGGGAGATACCACCAAGAGAGCAGGGAATTTTATGGGAGTCAGATTTATGGGAGGCAGGAGGGGAGGTCAGTTGAGGCAGCAGCAGCTGGGTGAACAGAGAACAGAGGGCTAGAAGAGTGGGCTTCAGAAAAATCCCCAGGTGCTCAGTTTTTTAATCTCAGGCACTGGAGGGGTGTGGGGGGCAGGGCAGGACCAGTGAATGTGCCTGGCATGAGACGTTGGACTTTGCCAGTACTTAGGCCATGGAAGGGTGCTGAAGCTTGTAGTGATCTGACAGCAATGGCTGGGGTTGGGCAGGACTGGAGGCCAGAGCCAGGGGGCCATTGCAGAGTCCTAGCAGGAGAGTGTAGGGAGGGACAGACACGGTCCAAATTTCTGACAGCCTATTCCATGCCAAGCCTGGATGTAACTCTTTCAGGGAGGGAGAAAGATTCCAAAAATCTAATCTTAGGAGCAGAAGTGTGGACTTGCTTGCAAATGCTTGCTTTTGCTTCTAAAGTAATTGAACCATAGAGTTAAATCCTTGATGTTTTTTTGTTTGTTTTGTTTTGTTTGTTTGTTTGTTTGTTTTGGTACTTGTGGGAAAATAAATGGAGGGAAGAAATTACCCCACAACTTCCTCTGACCCAGTCAATGCAGAGGTAAGGCTGGAGGCAGCCAGCAGAAGGTCAGAGGTCAGAGCTCATGAGCAAACCCTCCCCTCTGGGTTTCCTGCCTCCCAGGCCAGAGGGAGGGAGCCTGCTGTGGGCTGAGGTCCCTGAGGGGCTGGAGCTGGGAGCCTGTACTAGGAGTGGGACCAGTTTGGGGAGGGCCCCCCCCATGCTTGTTAACCACAGCTGCGTTTGCAGATTTTGCTGGAAGGACAGTGAAGTAGGCTGGAGACCAGCTCCCTTGGCTCCCCTGAAGCCTAGCTGCTATGCCCCCTCCCACTCTGCCATGGGCCTAATCACTTTTTAAGAGGCGTCAGAAAAAAGATATGATGAAATTGGTGAGACTGGTGAGGGTGGGTGTCTGTATGAACATGGGCTGGTGGTGATCCCATGGGAGGGAGAAGACTAGGGACACCCCTGTTCGTGTGTCTTTTTTTTTTTTTTTAAGATTTATTCATACAGAACTGGGGTACAGGCCAGAGATGCGGAAGGTGAGAGGATTCACCAGGGACAGAGTGGGGAGCAGAACAGGCAGATGGAGGAAGTACACTGCTGAGGGGAGCAGCGGGCGGGTCAGGAGAGGTCTGCCGCGCCATGTGGTCACCTCCAGGGCAGGCGGGGATCAAACTCACGGGGAAGTGGCTTAAGCTTCTTAGTGCAGTGCTTTAACCCTCTGCGCCACCAGGGAGGGCCTGTTTATGTGTCTTCATCTAGAAAAAGTCTGGATGCCAGGTTACTTGCATTTTTCTGAGAAATGCTGCCCTCTTGTGGCCATAATTCCCTAAAGGCACCTCCACCAAGAGGTGGAGTATTTTCCTTAAAATTCCTTAGAATCCAAATAATAGTTTCTAAGTGCTATTCCTCTCTAAATGCAGACCCCAGGGCTCCTTGAAGAATAGACTGAATCCCAGGCTAGGACCAGGAAAGTGCAACGTCTTGTTATGCAAAAAAAAAAAAATGCTCAAAAAACGATTACTCAAAAGAACACAGGAGACAGTTTGAACAGCGAACAAGGATCTCAGAGCCTAATCAGGGACAAAAGCACTGTCCAAGCGAACAGGGACAATAAGGGATACCCACTGAATAAAGTAAGAATTCATGAGTGTCCGTGCTGATGACGGATAAGTACATACACCAAAATAAATAAAAGAGAAATAGCCTTACACCGAATGCCAACGAATAATTGCAGGAGTGAAAAACTTAGAAAACAGCCATTTGCAATCAGCATGATAATAATAGATCAAGGCAAGAATTTAGACAGAGCATGTTCAAAATTAGCAGCTTGGCGGCAGTGTCAGCTAACTACAGCCATCATCATTTTGCAGTCGTAAGAGTATCAAACAACACACTGAATGCTAAACTCACACAATGCTGTGTCCATTACATCCCAAAAAATAGGACGAGGAAGGGGGTTCTGGAGAAGAGTGGTGATGGCGGCACAGCCATGTGAGGGTGCCTGATACCACCAAACTACACCCTGAAACATGGTTGAAGTGGTCATTTTTGCTCTGTACATTTTGCCACTTTAAGGAAAAAATAACACCCAAGTCAATGGAAGCTTCAATAGAAACAGGACAATTACATAGTCTCAAGGCTTCTCAGTAAAGATTTCTTAGTAACTGCAAAGGAGTAAGTGGCTACTTTATAGTGGATAAACAGCTCTGACAGGTGCTAGTGGACAAGCATGATCCCATTGGGGGATAAAAAGCATCAGGTGCTTCCTGCTGTGAGGGGATGGTTTCCAGGAGTCAGGGACTCCCGGGGGTGTATGGGGATACATATATATATTGGGGGGGGAGGCAGTGAGTATATGTAACAAATGTTCCTATTTGTTGAGTCAGGGTAAGCAGGATTTCAAAATAAAAAGTAAGAAAAAAAACCCTCTCGTTCAGATCTAAAAGAAAGAGAAGATAATGGGATCCATTTTCAGATGAAAATTGTTAACCAGATGTAAGAGCAATTGCGGAAACTAAGTATGAGATTACTAGGAATTTTTTTTTTAAATGTGTAAGGTCTTTGAAAATAAAGTTACAAAACTGTATTGAAAGTTACCAAAGAATGTCTATGGGAGAGAGCCCATCTTCATGGACAGGACCCATAAAGAGATGGGTAAAGAGATCAATTCTTCCTAAATTAACCTGTAATTGCTATCAAAATCCCAACAGGTTTTTCATGTGTATGTGGGTGGAGCCTGACAAATTGATTATAAGAGAGGGAAGGCCTGAGGAAGCCGATACTTTAGAAGGAAGAGAGCAGTGTGAGATGCACCCTGTCAGGTATTACGACATATTTTAGAGCCAGGTAATTAAAACAGGGTGCTTTAGGGTGGGGAGGGGAGGGGGGGAAGAAAAGCAGTGGAGGAGATGCGGGAGCCCAGCAACAGCCACTCACATATGCGGAAATGTGATACTCGACAGAAGGAACAGATGGACTGCTGGGTAAAAGGAGCTGTGGCAATTATTATCCATATGGGAAAAACTGGATTTCTACTTCATACATAAAAATGAATTCTAGACAGATTAAAGACCTGAATGTGGAAAAAACAAAACTTGAAAACTTTTAGAAGAAAATCTAACCTCCTAGGACAGAGTGAGGTGGAGGGTGTTTACTAAAGATGACCCCCTAGTCTCTCTCCATGTCCCTCCCCCCACAAAAAAGAGCACAAATCTTAAAGGAAAAGTGCCATTTTAGGGCACTTTCATAAATAATCAGCATAGTTTAACAGTAATTATCTCTGGCTTATAATATTTCAGGAAGTGCCTCAATCTTTCCATCATTCAAAAGTGTCACCAACCCCATGTGACAAAAGAACAAACAAAAACTCAGGGAGTCAACAAGGACTCGAACCCAAGTTCAGCCCCAGGTCTGCTGGACCCCAGTTGCTGTGCGTTTGCCTCTACACCTGTCTCTTTAACATTGGTACTGGAGTCAACAACACACATTGTATGTGCCAGGGGGAGACATGCTTAAATAAATAATTCCCATAGAGACAAGTGCTAGGATTTACACTTCCTTCTCCCCACTTCATCTTAGGTGCTCCTGAAAACAATACTTCCCAGTGGGGGGAGGGAAATGCACTGGACTGTGGCACATGGGTGATTTGGTGAAGGGAAGCCCACAGGGATTACAACTGAGGTGGGAAAATGCACAAAATGATGAAAAAATAAACCATTATATTATTTTTTAAAAAGAGACTTTCCTGGCCCTCCCTGGTGGCGCAGCGGGTTAAAGCACAGCACTGAGAATCTAAAGCTGCTTCCGCATGAGTTCGATTCCCGCCTGCCCCAGAGGTGACCACATGGCGTGGCAGACCTCTCCTGACCTGCCCGCTGCTCTCCTCAGCAGTGTACTTCGTCGATCTGCCTGTTCTGCTCCCCACTCTGTCTCTGGTGAAGCCTCTCACTGCCCCTGCACCTCTGGCCTGTACCCCAGTTCTGTATGCACAAATAAATAAATCTTAAAAAAAAAAAAAAAAAGAGAGAGACTTTCCTTTCTGTTTGTCATCCTGTGAAGACAGAATAGCTGACTTGAGACAAAGAATAAGAATAGCCACGAATTGTAGAGCAGCTGGAATTTGCCAGATACATAAACTCATAGCTCCTGTCCCGACTGCCATTTTATTAATTGGTAACTAGACTTTAGCTGGACAGACTCCAAAGGCCTCAGATTGGGATATTTTTTATTCAGTGGGTGACATGAAAAGGAATTTGGGGAAAGCAGCTTCAGAGTGTGGGGGAAACAATTTCATTATAAAATGGCAAATAGTGTGTAAAATTCACCCTGAGGATGTGACCTTGAAAAAAAATTGATTATTTTACTCAATGTTTGGGCTTTTTATTATAGAATTTAAAAT